ATAGCTTTTTCTGCATCATCAATACCAAATACCAATAACCATTTCATGTTAGGTACTTATAAGAGTTTTAAACAACGATATTCAATAAAAAATAATCAGAAAAGCGCAGAAAAAAATCGTGTACTATTAATACATATCTTACAACTTCCTTCCAAATTGTAGGATTGCCCTGTAAATTAGCACAGCTCATCTTCGTGTACCTAACAAAACTATTATATCAGTTTCACGTCGGCAGAAAAGGTAATAATAATCTTAATAAATAAATAAATAGACTAAATCTTCGAAAAAAAGAAACTTTCATGAAATATCGTCTGTAACGTCTGTAACTTTCTTTCAAGAAATAGGATTACTGTCAAAACTTTCACAACTCATCTCTGTGTACCTATCAACCAATCGTATTGCGATCAATAGAAAATAGATGTCGCTCTTAAACTGGCAGCGAGTTGCACTTTAGGGCTTCCGTATAATTCTCACGTTTAGTTGCATGAGTGACTTATGCTGACAGCCACCGAAATCGCCAACAAAATCGCCGTCGCCACAGAACAAAAAAAAAATTTGATAAATCGCTAGTACTGGCCACACTGCTGGTTGCGAGACCAGGTGCGAGAGAGAATGTCCAAGTTCCAGTACATCCTGTCTCTCTCGCACACGCTTGTGATCGGTCGCCAAAAAACCCGTACATATAGTAATATCAGGCTGGAGCGGAAGCGACAAAAAAGTTTGAGAAGCGTGTGCGAGAGATACAGGATGTACTGGAACTCGAACTCTTTCTGTCGCACCTGGTCTTACAACCAGTATATACGATGCTGCCTCTAGGTATATATGCCTTAAGTTGAGAGCACTGAACAGTTGTGTATACCCGTATAAGTATGCTACTAACGGTGACGTCAGCTGGCAAGTTGAGATGAGTAGTATCATTATTAATTTATATCTGAAAATTTTGTGCTAGTCCTGATGAGATACGCTCATAAAACTTGATAATCCTATCTTAAAAAAATGATGGGTCACGTGATGAAGCCTGTTTATCCGTTGTGTGATTGGCTGAGACTGATCAAGCGCGGGTGAATTTGAAAATAAGATTTGGAAAAATCAGTAAAAAGTCATTTGTACATAGAAAATAAATGTGATTAAATTTCGGTGGTTTGCGCGTGGAGCGCGCAGGGGGCGCAGCCCCCTAGTGTAGATGAAAAATGTATTAACAAGTTGTGATTCTCCTAATCTAAAAAGGGATACTACTTTCCAACTAACTACCACTGTGACACTGCTTCTTGACCTGAAATAAAACGAGGCACCGACGCAGCGTTAGCAAGTCTCGATCGCGTTCGTCACCGTTGTCTCTCTTACCTCTTGGGTTTCTGCTCCTGAAAAAGGGGGATAGGCGCGGGAGTTCTCCCGTTCTACGGGAAGAACTATTAATTTACACACAACAAATTAATACCCTTCACACTTTTCTTTATTTAACACACTTAACACTAATACACAGTCTCCCTCTCTTCACAATACACGACACAATTCTTTACCTCGTCTTCTGGACGGCGCTGCAGCGACTTCGCCTCGCACCCCACGAGCCACGAGCGCTCGTCCACCACGTCCTGCTCGTCCGGGACCAGGAGGGGCTCCTGCTCGTCCTCGACCCACACTACTACGCACACACTCACACTCCGTCCCCAATCTCTCACACTGCTATACACTCTCTCTCTCTCTACTCTACTATCTACCCTAATACACGACAACACGCACGAAAAATGGCGGCCGTCCCATGCACCTCGCGGTCTCTCGTACACCTCGTCTCGTCAACCCAAACTCTTTCTCACTCTCTCTCGCACTGTCTACGCTACAATCTCTCTCTCTCTCTCTCTCGCCCTGTCTACGCTACACACTACTTCTCTCTCTCTCTAGCCTCACCTCCTGGTCAAACGTCCGCGAGTACAACCTGGCGTGAAGTCGTCCGGTGTCCTCGAGCGGATTGTTCGTCCTGCGGCTTCACCTTTTCTCTTCTCTCTCTTTCAACTCTTCTCTCTCTGCTTCTTCTCTCAGCGGCCGTAGTCCTCGACCTGGAGATCTCGTCGTCCGGGGAGAACACAGCAGCTTCTCGTCTCGCACGCACACTCCTCTCTCTTCTCTCAACACTCAACGCACCTTCTCGAAAACTCTCTCTCTCAACTCTCGCCACGAAATCCCACAAAACCACTGAAGCTCTCGCTGCTCGCGCTTAAGCGTGCAGCTCGAGGCTATACTCCAGACTCACTCAAGATCTCTTGCTCAAGCAATGGCCGCCGCCTCTGCCGCCGCCACGTATCTCCTCTCACAGTCACTCTCATACTTAGCAGCTGCTGTGTCTCGGTAGTCGCGTTCGCACTTTCCTTGTCCTTTTCTGCTGGCGCTGCTGTGTCTCTGCATCTCAGCTGTTTGTCCGTTGGCGTCCTCGTCCCCTCCTCTTAGCGTGTATACAGCTCCCGAAAAACAAACAGTTCGGAGAAGCGTCAAATTAATGCTCTTTGTATAGACGTTGCATCAGCGAGAGCATTTTGGAATATAGAGGCCATTTTGCCTCGTTACACCACATTTAAAAAATTACTATTATTATTATAATAATTGGTGATACGTTTTTCTCATAAAACTCTTGCTGTTGCATGATTTTGTACCTCATTATTATAATATCTATGAAATTACATTGGAATCCGATAATTGAATGACCAAATGGCTTTGACTCTATGACAGCATAAAGAGCAGACAATATTAGCCTAACAGCATCAATATTCAACCTTTACAATACACACAGCAGTACAATAACAGATGCTCTTTCGCACGCGTGGGTACCCGATCGGAAAATTAACTAGGCTGCCTCGGTAGTTAGAGGGGGCCTAATTAGGCTGCCTCGGTAGTTAGAGGGGGCCTAGATAGGCTGCGTCGGTAGTTAGAGGGAACCTAGGTAGGCTGCCTCGGTAGGTCCAAGGTAGGTTTTGTTACGGTGGAATTGGTAGGGACTAGGTAGGAAGCGTAGCTAGGTATCTTCCATCTCACTCTTTCTTATACTGTAGCTACAACATATGCAATTGATGCGAATGACAGACATTTTGGAGCAGTGTTTGTAAGATAATAAACTGACATATTAAGGGTTCTCTGCATTTTTATTGAATAGTTTCAAAAATTTTTTTTTGTAAAATGAGTGAGACAGTGAAACGATTGTTGTCATCAAGTAAGGAAAGAGTCAAGAGATATCGTGCTTTAAAACGTGTAATTGCAAAGGAGAAAGAAAAAGAAATACATGGCTCCAATATTCGTGCAAATTACGATACCGTTGACGATAAAAGTTGTGTGGAAAAAAAAATTTGTTCCGAACCGTTGATTAATTCCCAGACTATCGAAAAGTGTGATGATACACAAGAAGATTTTACGTCCGATGACTCAATTACTACAATAATTGGTTATTTTTATAATGCTGACTTATACAGTTATTATTTTATTTAATTTCATAAAAATCACTGATTCTCCATTATTAATTTTAATACAGATTTACTCCACAATTTGACCATGATTATGAAAAGATTGATACATAAAGATGTTATTAAACTATATACAGTGCAAAGGTCCAAGCCAGGGAAAAATCTCTTTAGAGACACATGTTTACACCAAACTGGAAAGTACAATGAGAAGCTATATTTTAGGCTTAAATTGTATTTAAATTGACATTTTAAGTACACGCTATTTTTTCAGCCTCACTACTGACCATATTTAACTGTCAACTGCCTTCCGAAAAACACATTAGTGAGAAGGATATCCTGAACACTCTAGGAACTGTTTTTCTTTATTCAAAGGACTGATCAGGAGGTCGAATGGCTAGATATAGTAAAGAGGGTCAAAATCAAAATGCTGAGGACTAAAACATTTAAAATATTCTCACATTTTTATTAAATTGATACTATTTTTCTCAACTATATTTTTTTACATTGTAAAAATAATTAATTTTTTAAATAGAAGTTGTACATGGAGAGAGCTCTGATGCTATGGTAGTATGCGTATCTATATACTACCGGAGTTATAGACATATAAAACATACAGACTGCTCGTTCTTACGTACGGCGCTGAAGCACAAGTAGAAAGAGACACAGCATCGAACGTGTATATCGGTCTCTCTCGCACGTTGCCAACGGTGGGGAAGTTGCATCAGCTGGCCTGCAGCAGGGGTCTGATCGGGGCATTCGATATCTCGCAAAAGTAAGCATTTTTGTCGATTATCGGCGATAATTCCTAAACTACGCATGCGCATTATCGTCATTTTTGGTTATTTTATAGGGATTATCGAAAAAACTGCTTACTTAAGTGAGATATCGAATGCCCCGATCAGACCCCAGGTCTGTATGTTTTATAAGTCGCGACCTCCTGGAAGCCATCCCGCAAATGATCGATTTGAGCAATAAAAAAAATGCTCAAATCGATCATTTGCGGGCTAGCTTCCAGGAGGTGTCTATGCGGCCGTCTAGTAGTCATTCCCTGTCAGGTTGCTGTGTAGACCCTAAAAGAATCGATTTGACAAGAATCGAGCCAATGACACAGTTCCTATGAATCGGAAAATTACTCGATTCTTGGCTCGAAGACTTGGTCGATTCTCAGAGACTCGCACGGAATCGCCTACCCTTAGTGCGTGCAATACATAGAGATATTATAGATCTATAATATCTCTATGGTGCAACACGGTAATCAGCGTTGTTGTACTACCAAGTGTATCACGCATATAGTCTATGACTGAAGAAATATAAAATAATTATGTAAATAATTGTTTTAAAAAAAAATTTATTTATTTTCTACTACACGAACATAATTATTAAGCGGTTTTTATCATAAATTTCTTATTATGTTATCATTACAGTGGTAACTTATAAAGTTTTCACGCTAAAACTGACGCGCCGTTGCGTGGCGCTTCAGTTCTTCAGTCATAGACTATGTGCGTGATACACTTGGTAAGACAACGCTGACAGTAATGTAATATTTCAATTGACGCTAGCTATCTTGAAACTGTATTATACTTATTAATTACTCTTTAATCAAAATTTGATACTTAAGTACCTCAGTCTGCAAAAAAATCTGGTGTCTCTTTGTGTATAGTTCAACAATTAACATTTGAAAGCTGATTAAATGCTAATTTTGTTTGTTCAATATTTATCAATTTTCTAACCCAAAATGTCAACAAAAGAGCGTTTGAAACAAGACCAATCAGATAGTAAGTTCTTCATTTTTAACAATTTCAGCTCTTTTCTTGCTCTTTTATTAAATTACTAAAAATATCGTTTGATGACTTCAAGAGGTTGTTTGGTTAGGAGTTAGTATTACACGTCAACGAAATTCTTCCTTGCTATACTCATTCATTATGAATACTCGAGAAAATTACTGATATTTTCATGTCCGGTTTTGTACGCACTATGCATAGTCTTACATGAAGTGCTGCGTAAACATGCACTTAAAGTTATCTTTTCTTGCATGAATCACTGGATGTGAAAAATGTTGTTCTCGGTACAAATAGGACTATTTTCAACTTTTTCCTTGCATGATGCTTATTTTCAAGTCCTCTAATTAATATATTTTATGTAACTACAATTTGCAGATATCATTGCATACAGTGAACTAGCCATTAGGAATAATGCAGCAGTAGTAGAGTATTGCAGAATATCAATGGCTGCACTGTCAGGTGGCACTGCAGGTCTTTTAGGTCTCACAGGATTGTGTGGATTTGGATTCTACGTTTTTGCAGTTATTAGTTTATGGGTTGGTGTTTCCGTTTATGTATTATATTTTAATAGTTATTATCTTACATAGAGCGTTAAAATTTTCTATTTGTTGTTAATTTGACCCTAATCTAAGTATTTATGAAAGGAATATAAAATAATATATAAAAGTAACTAATTCTGCTCAGCAGGGGATGGGGGAATGTCTTACTTTTGCAAAAGTAATTTGTCAATTTTTGAACGCAATATTGTGTGAGTAGCCCTAGTTGTTCTCAATAATACATTTATTTTATATTATTTTTTTTTATTTATGTTTTACAGCCATTTCTGAGAACTATGCCTAACAGGCTCTGCAATGTTGTGTTACTGTGAATGTAGTGGTATCATCATTAGCATATCAAAAAATCACAGATTTAATTGTGACATCAATCACTTACACAGCAATGGGGACCTTATATTACATGGCTTCCGAACCATCAGATCGCAGTTAGAAGTTTGGATATGAGCAATTAATTGATTTCTCGGATGTGCGAACCAAGTGCGCATAAGATCGGGTCCCAAACTTGGAAGCTCTGAGTAACACATGTATCAGTACCTACTACGCATACATGTTGTTGGCTATATTATACTGTTGTACTTTGTAGGATTTGGTTATTTTTACAATGTAAACGAGCGAGTGAGCAAAGCTTGCGAGTGCCACTATTTTCGGTACTACTTACATCAATTTCCTAAGTAAACCAATTAATTTTGCAAAAGTAAGACATTTACGTTGATCTGCAGTGAAAATGGATGCCATTCCTCTACTTTCTCCCCATTCCCCGCCTACCCCTTCCGAGTACACTGAAAGAAATTTGGATGTAGGATATCTCCAACCTTGGAAATACCCGAGCTCAATAAATTTCTTACTTCTAAAATTTCAAAATACGACTGACATCAATCCAAACTTGGTAATATATCAAGTAAAAATTTTTTGAAGTATCTTGTTTCCATATTGGAAAGCTCATCGTACGTGTTTGGTAGCGTCAGATGTCGACGAATCGTTAGATGCAGAGAGCACGACGCTGGAAGCGTCAAACCTCGGAGTTGGTAAGCTGAGCTTCCCAACTTGGGAGAGTAAGAGCTAGACATTAGTTGAGGTCACTCGGTCCCATTATCGAGCCATAATACTTCGGCATTGAGTATAAAAAGTATGTATAGAGACTAAAATATCTATAAATGAGAGGAAATGGTTGCGACGAAGACAATCACAGCGTGACGTCACGCCGTGTTATTTCAAATGTGGTGACGGCACTCTGTGATTGTCTTCGTCGCAGCCGTCGATATATAAATATATATACAAATTTTAGGACTCATCCCAAGCAGCTGATCCTCAGTTACCTAGTGCGATCACATACTTTGATTCATTATACATAAATAAAAACTCAACAAACTAATTTCTGGAGTCCTGCCACACTTGCAGGCCGACGCTTAAAAGCTTTTCTTCAAAAATTGAGGAAAAGTAAAACATCCAAGTAGGTTTAACTTAGGGTATACAAAACTAAAATTAAAATGTAATCAACGAAAGCATACACAAGTAAAGGTTAAGCTCTGGTACATACTATGAACATATGTAAGTTTTAAGTTCAATCACCCATATTGAGTGTTAGCTCAGTTGAGTACGCGTTNCACGCCGTGTTATTTCAAATGGGGTGACGGCACTCTGTGGTTGTGTTCGTCGCAGCCGTCGATATATAAATATATATACAAATTTTAGGACTCATCCCAAGCAGCTGATCCTCAGTTACCCAGTGCGATCACATACTTTGATTCAATATTAGTATAAACATAAATAAAAACTCAACAAACTTATTGCTGGAGTCCTGCCACACTTGCAGGCCGACGCTTAAAAGCTTTTCTTCAAAAATGGAGGAAAAGTAAAATATCCAAGTAGGTATAACTTAGGGTATACGAAACTAAAATTAAAATGTAATCAATGAAAACATACACAAGTAAAGGTTAAGCTCTGGTACATACTATGAACATATGTAAGTTTTAAGTTCAACCGCCCATATTGAGTGTTAGCTCAGTTGAGTACGCGTTCTATTTTGGACCCAATGATCATGAGTTCAAGACTCGATAGAGTCACTTTTTTTTCTTTTTATTTAATTATTCCGTATTAAAAAAATGTTAGGATATTTATTTATTTATAAATTACTAACAACAGAAAAACGTGTATGCATAAAAAATCACTCACGAAACCCAATACGCACGGTTCACTCAATTTTAAATATACTTACTAATCAAGAGTTTCTACCCAAGTAATTTCCCGCGCTCGCTTCTCCGCACTTTTATTTACTTAACAAATATTTAAAAATTTAAGAGCCTTATCCCAAGTAATTTAGAGCGCTCGCTTGAGTGCGCTTTTATTTATTTAATAAGTATCTAAAAATTCAAAAGCTTCCTCCCAAGTAATATCGAGCGCTCGCTTGTGTGCGCTTTGATTTATTTAATAAGTATTCAATAATTTAAGAGTGGCAAACATAAACAAACATAAAATAAATTTAACACAGTTGTTATCGCAAGTAATTTAGAGCACTCGCTTGTGTGCGCTTTTATTTATTTAATAAGTATTTAAAAATTCAAGAGCTTTCTCCCAAGTAATATCGAGCGCTCGCTTGTGTGCGCTTTGATTTATTTAATAGGTATTCAATAATTTAAGAGTGGCAAACATAAACAAACATAAAATAAATTTAACACAGTTGCAATTTCAAATAATAACCTTATAATAAATGTTTAATCTTAATAATATAATTTGTTTGTTTATNTTTTCTTCTCTGGGTTACCTTTTACAAGAAAAAATATAAGCACAAATGTGTATTGGACACACAGTAAATATTAACTGATAGATATATAATCAACTTACAATGGGCAACAGTTGTAGTATACTTACCAATGAAAAGCTAATCTGTTTCACTTATTGGGCTACACCTTTTTTGCCTCACTAGCACATTGTTATTTACCTTTTGATCAAAAATATGTCCTCAATAAATAATCGTGTTAGAAAAGGATTCTAATTTTAAGGTTAGGTTAGGTCAGTTCAAGATATACAGATATATACTACTACTCTCCCTCTCCATGTGATATACTGTACATGGTGACCCCAAGCTCATCTGTATATATATATACCCCCTCATTCACATTACGCCAATACACCGTAATATGCCAAGTATATGTTATACATTACTCCTCTCTCCCATCAATTTATTTGAATCGGTTTACCTACATACTTTTTACACTCAATGCTGAAGTATTATAGCTCGATAATAGGATCGAGCGACCTCAAATAATGTCGAGCTCTTACTCTCCCAAGTTGGGAAGCTCAGCTAACCAACTTCGAGGTGTGACGCTTCCAGCGTCGTGCTCTCTGCATCCAACGATTCGTCGACATCTGACGTTACCAAATACGTACGGCGACTCTTCCAGTTTGTAAACAGAACACTTCGAAATTCTCCGACCTGGTATATTCCAAATTTCGTAGTGTTAGCATTCAATGTTATCGAGGTCTCTTGATACAGAAAAAATTGGTAAGATCCTACACCCAATATTCTTTCAGTGTAAGCTTGCGGCGATGCACTAAACCAGAGCCAAAAATGTTCTCTTCGTAAAAAATTCTCTAATTGTTAAAAGGCAGTCTGGAGTTGATTAAAGTTTCTTATCTTATCAGTTAAGTTACTTTGATGGCACAGCTTTATAACATTATTTATTCAACAGCTTTCTATTTTATTGAAAAAAAAGAAAAGACGCATATTCTTGACACTTTAAAAAATAAGTCAACCCTACATTTTGCAGGACTGAGAATTCAGATGAAAAGTAACAAATCAGATATTGAACTGATTAGGTGCGATCTGATTTTTGACTTTTTTTTAAATATTTTAATACATTTTGCCAAAATCCAGCTGTATTTATTCCTTGTAGAATAAAGAATGTGCATGTACTCTTCTTTTTTTTCAAAAATCATGTAGAGTAAATTACTGAGAGTCATTAAAATATGAAGAAAATTAGTGAAAAATCAGGTAACATGTTTTCAATCTAACATCTCATTTTTCGTCTTGAATTCTCAATTAGTTTTTCCAAGTGTGCTCTTGATTTATTCATTGAAGCATCAAGAATGTGCATCTACTCTAATTTTTTTGATAAGAAAGAAACTTAAACTATCTCCAGACTGCCCTTGATTAATATTCTAACACTTAAACATACAAATCATTACAAATATTTATTTTTTAGGTTATGTTGTTAACAAAAGCTGGTGGACAGTGGAAAAAATATTTTGTTAATCGAAGAAGTTTACTGACTGGTGGATTTTTTGGTGGCTTATTTGTATCCTTCAATGAAAAAAAAGTTTTAATCTACACAATATTTTGTTTTCCTTAACTTTAGTAATTTTCGTGTTTAGACATACGTATTATTTTGGACGTATCCTTTTATATGAAATCTTGTCTTAACAATACAAAGTTATAAGCTATAAATAACAATACGTGTTAAAAATTCAGAGATTTTATTCCTTGTTTATATTCCATTTTAGGTTCTCTAACGGTTAGTTGTACATTGTTTCTCTCTCTCTTTCTCTGTTGTATGAAAATCTCTATAACCCCTACTTGGCGTTAAAGACTCGTCACCGGGTTATGGGGTGAAATGGTTTATGTGGTTGTTGAAGACTCCAGTATAACATATGGCTATGGGGTGAAGGAGGTTGCATACATATCATCGACATTAGTTGGGGGCTCTAATTTAGTTTTTGATTCATTCTATGTGTCATAAAAACCAACGTAATTTTTTTGGGCGATCTCAGCCATGTGGTTATTAAGATATTTCACAATAAAAAATGAACAATTTAACAGGGGCTGTTATGGGAACAACATTCTGACCTAAAAGTAATATAATTTAGTAATAGTTACTAAAAATCGCCATAAAACATATTTTTGATACTTCAAATTCTGCGGATTCATGTGATCCTCTGATTTTTATCAGTATCCATCCTAATCAGAGAGAAAATTATGATTTTTTAAAATAAAAATATGAACTTTGGTTAGATTGATAAGATAGATACATGTATTTCATAGGAATAAGCTGTATTACGTTCTTTCGTTAATGCTGTGAGCTTCCCACACCCTTGACCCCGCTTCGCCTCCCCTCTGAAAGATTGTATCCAACCTGCTTAAAGACTCTAGGGAGACTGGGTTATAACATTAAAGAGCTTGGATTAAAGTTAATTTTTTATTTTCCCGGGGGTCTGGATTGCCTTTTGAATTTTGTCTTAATCGTACCGAACTGTAACGCTGACTAGATGTCGACTATCGATAGTGCCAATTCAGTACGATTAGGACATCGGGAATAATTTGCTATGGAGTTCTGGTTGGGATAATAAAGTGTGATTAAGCTTTATTTATTCCTTGTAAACTAAAGAACGTCCGACAACTGTTCTTTTTTTCGAAAGTTACATAAAATTTATTGATTGGTTTCTAGATTTTATTATATTTTAATGAACTTTGTACTTTATCTTACAACAGCTTCGTTACTTATTCTACAATAATTGATTAATTTGGAACGCTGTTATGCCAAAAAAAGAGTTGACGCACAATCTTGACTTCCTATAGAATAAATAGAGCTTGATTTTGCCAAGATCTGTTGTCATGTACTAAAAAAGTGTATTGATTGGTGTCTAGATTTTATTCTGATTTAATGAGTATTTTATCATATCTTGCAAAAGCTTCTTTATTTATTCCACAATAATGAATTAATTTTGAACACTGTTATTCCAGAAAAAGAATTGACGCACAATCTTGTCTTATGACAGAATAAATGGAGCTTGATTTTACCAAGATCTGTTGTCATATTAAGAAGGAAAATAAAAAATCAAATCACACCTTACTAGTCCAATAACTAAATTTTTACTTTTGGCGTCGAATTCATAATCAATTTTTAATCAATAATAAATTGTAGCTAAATAGAATTAGCAAATTTAAAATTAGCAAATTTGGATATTAAAATGGCGAACTCTGTTTTTTTACTTCTTTTTTGTTTTGTAGATAATGGCAATACAAATAACATAATACGTTTGAAAATATGGATTGGAGTCATGCATTACCGTTAAAAGAATGTCTAAAACCGTAAAAATTACTTTTTTTTTGGTTAACGAGAAACCTAAGCATTTGACAAAAAAAATGTTTGTAGATATATATNATATATATATACACACATTTTTTTTCAATCTATAACTTGCATTTTATCGAATATTAAAACTTGAAATTTCGATGGAACCAGTGTATTATATGCCTCAATATTTATACAAAATTTCATCAAGATTTATTTAAAACTTTTTTAAAAACTTGAAAAAGCCCTTTGGACAATAGGCTATATAAAAGTTTTGGGACAACATAGACCAGTTTTTCAAAAACGCTTATATTTATCAGAAACTTATGGAATATATACATATGGAGCAAGCATTGTTCGATCAGAAGTGATTTTACAATCTACTCTAAGTGGGGCTCTGCCGCAGTCCACTCTAGACTGACGAATTAACCACAGATGATCACAGTATGTCATCGTCACGGGGCGCAGACAAGGTCATACGTAGTGTGCCCCGATAGCCAAAAAAGTTAACCTAATATCTCATAAAATGACTCGAACTAAATGTGATCAGAATTCTTTATATTAAATGAACAATTAAGTGATTATTAAGTCTATAGTCGGATAGTCTTAAGTCTAAATTTAGAAATACTGTTTTCAACAGTTTCAGCTAGGTTACTTGGGCAGCTTACGATAAGTGAGTTATGTCAGTATTTCATGAGCTTACTTACTACTTCTCTTTCAAATGTTAGAAAATCTTACGTAATTTTCCATTATTATTTATTTTATTTTAGTCTAACTACGTCTGTCTGTACATTATGTTGTGTACTATCCGCTTAATTTGGGTAAATTTTCCTAAAAGTTATTCCGCCAATAAACAGCGACTAAAAGGATTTTTTCATTTTCAATATATAGAATTCAAAATTCTTTTTTACATATATATTTTCTTTTATCTTTTAAACTCTTTTATTCAACTATATACATTTTTTTTTCCTTTTTCGCTTCCGATATCTTTGCTTATTTTACCTTTTGTTTTACTTTATTCTAGAATAAAGTATTCAACTAAAACTACATTATTTAATTTTTATCATACTAATTTTTAGACTACGGTGTGGAATAAAGTATACTTACCCTCTTTATTAGCTATTAGAACTCCCTCTTTGCAGCTCTTCAACTTTTAATCAACTTAATTTTGCCTGCTTCTCTACTAAATCTGGAAATTTCTTTAATCGGATCCTCTTTCGGTAGTTTCAGAATCTTATTCCGAGATATTTGAGCCGCTACTATTAGCCTTAATCATTCTATAAATAAAAATGATCTTAGTCTTCTTCCTTGATCCATGTCTCACTAAATTATTTCTTTACTCTCGTGCATACAAAAACGTGCTATTCTTTCTGGTTCTCTTTAGCATGATCTGCACCTTTCGTCCTGATATCCTTCTTACCTGTCCTTCCTACATTTTTACATCTCAACCTTGCCCATTTGTTCTTTTATTTCTCTTTTTATTTGTCTATTCTTCCAGTAGTTTTCTGTTCTTGTTTTTTTTTTTCACTTCTGTTTTGTACTGGTTACAGAATCTTGACTTTTCTATTTTTTCCAGTTAGCTTGAATTTCCTGGTCTTCCATTATCTTCAATACTCTTTTAATTCTTTGAGTTGAATTATTTTCTCGCTCTCACTCTCTCTCTCTCTCTATCTCTCTCTCTCTATTTATTGCTCATTTCATGTACGTAGATCTATGAAAAGTATCACTGTTTCTTATTATATTGTTGTTTAACTTACAAATTGTGCATAAATAGTACATGAATACCGTTATCGAAACTTATTAATTGTACATAACTTGTACATGTATATTATTATCTAAACTTATCAACTATGTATTAGCTTTGCCATTCGGATACTACATTCTTGGAATCCCATCTAGTTAAATCTTAGATAATCTTTCTTCTCTCATTTTTGCTACTTCTATTACAGATTTTTCTGCCCCTTTCATTGATTTTATTTTAAAACTTTTCCTGTTAGCTTTTAATTTCCAAGTATGGTCTGGTGTGTTTCTGCCAATACCCAGGGCCATCTTAAAAACTTTTCGTGTGTTCTTTCAGATTCTTCCCATTTTCTCTATTCCTATATTTCTACTTTGTAGAAGCTTCTTTAACGATTGCATCTCATAATGACTGTCTTCTGCATAAGCTTTCTATACTATTACTCTTTCAGATCCCCCATACCGTATTCATTGCTTTTTTAAATCTTGTTTGTTGTTTTTACAATTTATCGACCGTGGGCGTGTCTTTGGTTATGAACCAGAATCCCAAGTTCTTGTATTCTCCGACGACTCGTTTTCAAAAAACCATTTTTCTCCTTTTACTAAGCTTACTCCTTTTTTAAGGAGGTCTGGGAGTATCATTCAGAGAGGCGAGGAACGGGGAGTCACCCCTGCCCGCACAGATGTTCCCCCCTTTACCACGCACCTCCTCTTGCACTCTACAAACTTGAAACTGTATGACTTTAATTAATTATATGTATTTGAAAAATGCCTGGCAAGGCTTAATTTTTTTGTCGAACACTTTTCTTTTGTACCAAGGTATCTATGAAAACGTTTTTTTTTATTCCAACACATTTAGAATATACCTTAATTTCAATTAAAAAGTGAACTTACTATCTTACGTATATTTTGCCGTCCTTATTTTTTCAGTTTATTATTTATTATTCTGTTAAAGCTAAATGTATGGTCCCTAGCACTTATGTCCTTTCTGAACCCTGCCTGATTTCCTTTCAGCTTTTTTTTCTGTTTCTAACAATTGCCTTAGTTTTCTTGCTAGTATATTTATAAGCATCTCGTACTCGTAGTTTCTAACGTCATTTTCGTCTTCTGCTTAATGTATCAGATATATTAATTTGTGCAACCTTTCAGTCTTCCACTATTTCCGTCCTCTCCTGCAGGATGTTGCCTTATTGTTATTCATTTTTTTCAACATCTCAGTACTTTATTTCTTGTGATTTCCGTGTTTGGACTTCCATCCAAATTTGTATCTCCTACTGAGAAGTCACCTCTCCCTTTCCTCTCTGTACGTGTACTTATTTACTCTATCATTAAAGTTTCTTGGAATCCTAGGAGATTTTTTATATGTCATAGCCAGTTTCCTTTTTTGATGTCTGATCCCTTCTTTTTTTTCCTTTTCTGTATGCATTATAAGTATTTTTAGTAAAAATACGTAATTAAAATGATGTTAAAAGTTTTTCGTATAATTCTAATACATTTTAAATACACTTTCGACTACACTTTCGATCTGTTGTTAAAGATTAAAATCCTGATTACAAAGCTGAAGGTAACTGAGAGTAGATCAATAT